TAAGCAGACCATTAGTACTTCTTTCCCCACCCAATTCATGGGATGGAATTGGCCTTGCCCTGATGAAAAGGTCTTATAGAATTTAATAGTGAAGGAAATGGTTCCCAAATAATATTTTAGCCATCCAACGGGATTAGTTCTGTCCCAGCCATGGAACCCTATATGCTGGTTCAAAACACCTATGGAAAGGATCTCATTTGCCATTGAATTCCATAGTATTTTAGAGTAATTGCTATAGAACTCTAACTTCTAATTAGAGAGTTTCTTATGGGTGGTACACACTACACACTATCTATCTATCTATCTATCTATCTATCTATCTATCTATCTATCTATCTATCTATCTATCTAAACTATTTTCTCTCTGTTTTTATATACAGTAAATAAATGTATCATAATCATGCTCTTTTTAATGCAGTGTATAGTTTCCTAGGTTGAGCACTTGTTGGGGGATGGGAATTCATTCTGACTAGAGAGAAGACCCGGCAAGAGCCAGTCATAGCTATCTTTTGGTCTCTGTGCAGCCAACTAGCATCGCTGGAGCTTTTGTGACAGCCCTTTGTGCAGCTGTGGCACAACACAGACGATGATGCACATTGTCGAGGAATGCCTGCTGACTAGGTTCAGCAGTGGCCTAGAAGAACTGAAGATGCCATCGTTGGCTAGACGATGATGCACACGCTAAATAAATAAATGTCACAATGCCGAGCAGATGGCAATCCCTGAACACTGCATTCTGTCATCTGTACTAGTTTTTACTCAAGCTCTGATCTACTAATCTGGACCGACAGAATTAATTGCTCCAAAACCTCTCAGTCATGCCAAACAGAATTGTGGGTGCTTTCTGGACTTCAACAGACTTCTTTTGAAAGCCAGCATTTTCATTGGGTGGGAAAAAATGAAAAATAAGAAACAGGCCGACATTACTATTGAGGATCACAGCTCATTAAATTACATCCAGTGGGACCAAGATGCTTCACTGTAGTGCCTTGACCTCCTTTGTTACACAGCAGTGCAACACCACAGCTTTGTCACATATCACCACAATTTATTTACCAAAGATGAGCTGGGATGCTTTGAATGGCCAGTAAACTAGGACATGTCAGCAGCAGAGTCAACACTGGCACTGTACTACAAAAATCACGACAAACGGCACCTTTATGCCTAAACCTAAATGTCCAGCTTAAACTGCCCTTGCTACAATTTAAGCCCAGTCTTCTTGTCCTATCCTCACAGGTTAATGAGTACAATTTACCTCCCTCCTCTTTGTAACAACCTTTTATGTACTTGAAAACTGTTATCATGCCCCCACTCAATCTTCGCTTCTCAGGTCTAAACAAACCCAGTTTTTTCAATCTTCCCTCACAGTCATGTTTTCTAGACCTTTAGTCATTTTTGCTGCTCTTCTCTGGACTGTCTCCAATTTGTCCACATCTTTCCTGAAATGTGGCACCCAGAACTGGACACAATACTCCAGTTGAGGCCTAATCAGTGTGGTATAGAACAGAAGAATTACTTTGTGTCTTGCTTTCAACACTCCTGCTACTACATCCCAGAATGAGATTTGCTTTTTTTGCAACAGTGTTACACTGTTGACTCATATTTAGCTTGTGATCCACTATGACCCTCAGATCCCTTTCCACAGTACTCCTTCCTAGGCAGTCATTTCCTATTTTGTATGTGTGCAACTGATTGTTCCTTCCTAAGTGGAGTACTTTGCATTTGTCCTTATTGAATTTATCCTATTTACTTCAGACCATTTCTCCAGTTTGTCCATGAGTGCAGGGGACTGGACTAGACGACCTCTTGAGGTCGCTTCCAATACTACAATTCTCTGATTTATAACCTCCCCTAGAAGACTAAAATGAAAGCAAGGTTTCTTGATGGATTGATGGATGGAGGATTGATGGATGGAGGCCACATAAATATATTTTCAAGAAAGAAATGTTGCATCCTGGAATCCCAGCAGAGTGACAGCTCAGAAACCTTGATCTGTCCTTAACATACTAGAGTAGAAGAGATTTAGGAGTGATTACATAATTCTCAGCCAGATGGATCGTGAAATATCATTTTGGTTACTAGTATCAGAAGGGTAGCCGTGTTAGTCTGTATCCACAAAAACAACGAGGAGTCCGGTGGCACCTTAAAGACTAACAGATTTATTTGGGCATAAGCTTTCGTTGGTAAAAAATAAAGAAGTGTTTTTTTTACCCATGAAAGCTTATGCCCAATAAACCTGTTAGTCTTTAAGGTGCCACCGGACTCCTCATTATTTTGGTTACTCTTTTCATCTCATGTGAAATGTCATATCCCGTTATGTCCGGTGATTAACCAACCCTTTATAAACGGAACAGTCATGTAAACGTGACTATTTCTCCACTCTGCTCCTACTGAAACAAAAATACTGGACAAATAAAATTAAACAAGTTGTAAGGATGATACAAAAAGATCATGGGGATCTGAAATGGATGTAGATTCTTCCGCCTTTGGGTCACTAGTACAAAGCCAGTCTGAGTTAGTAGTGGCCTCAAATTGTTAACCATCTAACAACTGTTTGGTTACTTGATGATTTGGCAGGTCTTGGACTTGCTTCTGTTGGACAGGTTTACACATGATAACTGCCTGTGATGCCACCTGGCACTTGTTAGTGATTTTGGCATGGAGACCAAGCGGGCTGAATGGGTTTTTACACTGCATTTCTTCTCACCCTTCCAGGTCAAGGTTTGAGAGCTCAACCAGCCAAGGCCCAACTGCAGAAGGCACCATGTGACAAAAATCCTAAATGCAGGACACAAAAGTATTTATGCAGAAGATTTAAAAGTACCGCTGGATTCGTCCCTTTGTGGTACATAGCTCTGTCTGTAAGTGCAGTTCCGCTGCTGTGTATTTCCAGTGCAGAGAGAGCACCAAATTTGGGTGGAATGTTAATAAATGCAGGACTGACATTCATAATGGCGAGGGCCAGTTGGTAGGTTTGGGATTGAGGCATGTTTAATATAGAGAAATCTTGCCTGTGCTGTAGACAAACAGGACGCCACTCTCTGCATTGCCAAACCAGCAGCATCCATGAGCCGTGCACTGGCATAAAAAAAGAAAAGATCTTCTACGTTGCCAAGCTCCAGCTCAAGGATAGATATTTTAAGAATGTCATTACAAACCACCCAAAAATAGGGCCTTCTAATGGAAAATCTTCTGACAAGAACCTCTATTGAAAGCCGGGCTGCTACAATTATATCAGAAGAAAATGATAAATCAGCCGCCAGTTGGTGCACAATAAACATCATAAAAATCACTCTGCCTTCATAGCGCGAGCACCCCATGATTATTGTACTGGGAAAACTTTTGGTTGAATGTAACTGCTGCTCTGGAGATGACCTGAATGAACTAGTTTGGCCATCAGACTGAGTGAGTGACTGTGTGTGGCTGATGCAGATGGGTATCCGTGTCTTAGGCTGGTCAGAAATCCATGGAGAGAGCAAGAATTTTCTTGCCTGTGTTATCTCCATAAAACTCTGGCATGTTGTTTTGCTATCATCACTAGCCTTTGTTGATTTACTAAGTGCATCTCTGAGTCACTACAGATCCAATTCCTCAGCACTATTAAGGCTGCTGCAGCTGGTCTTATATATTATAGGACATCAAAAACAAGGTCTTTGTGACGACATTTAGACATATAAAATCCTATGTAGCGTTTTTACAAGAATAAATGACCAGGACACTGAAGTAAGCACAACAGTGCAATGGGGTTTAGCACACACATGTATTTGTGCATGAAGTCCTTACTTGCTCAGATATACAAAGCTTTTTCTGTAGAGTGTTTGCAGGTGCAAATGTGGACTTTACTATAGAAGAATGTATGTGAAAAATTTGCAAAATAGCTGTCGGGATCAGGATCGAGTTTTGTTAGCACCCCTCTCCATAGGAGCTGCCATTTAACGGATACGTCATTGGATAAGGATTGGCGCTGGGAGGAATTGTCCAAAATTGGGCTATTTAACAGCAGCAAAAATGTGGTTAATGGATTATTATTAAAAACAAAACTTGCCAAACGAATTTGAAAGTCTGTCTCTCTCATGCATTCAAGTGGGAACCTTATTTCCTGTGCGTTGATGTCAATAATCAGACTAAATAGTTTAATAGTTAATTATAACTTGGTCAAGTCCTGAAGATTTTACTCAGGCAAAATTCCCATTGATTTCATTGGGAGTTTTGCATGAGGAAGGACTGAGGGCTTGATTGGGATAGTTAGGCGCAACCCTGCATTGAAGATGATGTACAGCTGTACTGCCCCAGAGGGAACACCAAGAGCTATCAGTCTCCTGAATGCCTCGGGCTGCATATTCACTGCTACTGCTACCCTTGATTCGCCTACTGCACCTCCAGCCAACTACACCGACAGATGCCTGGGGTGGTAGGACCATGGCCCCTCCCATTCCCACCCCTTATAGAAGCATAAATAGAGCCACCCCCACCCTTGGGTGAATGAAGGGCCTGGAATTGTTCCTGAACTTTACATGGGCTACACGAGAGGGGAGGTTCCTTCTACCCTCTCCCCCTTCCCACCACACACGTGCATGAGGCCAACCAGAATCTGACCCTGAGTTTTGACTTCAGGACCTGTCTCTCTCTCTCTCTCTCTCTCTCTCTCTCTTTTTAATTTTGTATTAATAATACAAGGCCCTTAGACAGAAATCACAATTCCCATTAGCTTCAATGGGTATCTAAGGGCACAGATTTCTATTTTGTAATTAGCCTTAGCGTAGTGATCCTCTCATCTTGCATATTATGTGAGGTTTTCCTCCACACACACACAAATCCTGGAAGCCTGACGTACTGTTTACACACTATGCCTCCAGCAGCCCCAGTCCACTAAAGAGCTTTTGATCCCCTTTAATAGTACCAATTGCTTGGCTGTATGATCAGCGTGACTGCAAGCAGCAAGAGGCTGCTGAATCTAGCAACCCTATGGAACAAATGAAGAAAGGAGAAGAGCACTTTACCGTCTTCCGAGTTAACAATACTGAACAGAGCAGGACACTTGACAAAGACGATTTCGCCCACACTTGCCGACTTCCAGCATGTAATATTATCCCACATCGCAGGGCATCCTATAGAAGAGAAAGAGAGAAATAAAGGAAGAGTTGCAATCAAATCCAATCCCCTTTCAATTTGTGTAGTGCTTTATAGTTACCTCCATCTCACAGCCATAAACATACTGTCCATTACTCTAAAGGACGTAACACTTTCATATAGGCTTAAAATAGGTGGGGTTACTTTGTACTGACTGCAACAGTATTAAACGGGAGGCATTACTATGGTACCGGAACAGCGATAATGGGGCCATGCTCTCTGCGGACAGAAATTGAAGCCAATTAAGCTGTGCCAATCAAGCCACACCAATTTATTCCAACGGAGAGTCTGGCCCCCAGGTATGGCATTCTGCTCTAATGTAGCTATCAGTGAACACAATGGGCCAAATCCAGAGGCCTTTCATCAGTTTTCCCCTCAGGCAAATAAAACCTGAGAGGTCCTGAAGACCGGAAACACGCCAAGAGATCAGCACCTCTCAGGATTGGGTCCAGTAACTCCAGCAGGAGTTTGACTAAGGACTACATGAAAAATGAGGGTGGAGTCTGGGAGTGGGAGTGCAGGGCCCAGCTCCCCAAAAGTATTTAGGCACCTACCTCCCACTGATTTCAACGGACAATAGGAGTCTAAATACCTTTTGATGGTCTAGTCCCAAGAGCCTTTTCTCCTTCACCTTGTGCTCCCTGCGTAAGGGCAAGGCACCGATTAGGCGTGGGATAGTCCCCAGCTACCACAGGGGCAGCTAGGTTTACCACCTTTGAAATGCAAAAAAACCCAGCATCTCCTCCCCCCAGGTAAGCCCGCTGCAACCCCAACCCCCAACCACAGGGCAACTCCACAACCCGCCCCTCCACCCCCTCAACAGCCACTTATAGTATCTAGAGAGAGAACACGTAGCGATAAGATTGAGAACATTGCCCGTCTCCTCACTCGCATGACTCAAACCCTCTCACACACACACGGGCGGTGCACTTGCGTGTTGGTGGGCAGACAGCTGCTGTCATTTTAATAGTGTTGATCTGTTATTGCTTAAACTGCAGAAGTGGGAACACTGCAGCATCTTTAGCTGGACACAGAAATAATGCAAATCTTTAGACCCAGGCAAAAAAACCCCACAGCGGATTAAACTATTTTTCTGGCAACTGGCAAATCCATAAAAAAAAACCAGACAGGCCAGTCAAATACTGGCCAGGTGGTCTCCCTGGGAGCAACCCGTACTCCCCCTCCCCCACCTCCCATGCAGGTAATATAGATTCATAAATATTAAGGCCAGAAGGGACCATTATGGTCATCTAGTCCAACCGCCTGCATAGCAATAGCCAGAGAACCTCACCCTATATTTCCCCTGCATCCAGCACATTATTTCTGGTTAAGGTAGATATCCTTTAGTGATGGAGAATATACCCATCTCCAGGTAAAGTATTGCAATGTTAAAAAACATGCACCTTATTTCCAATCTGAATTGCTCTAGCATCAACATCCAGCCATTCAATGGATCTTATTATACCTTCATCTGCTGGATTAAAGATCAGATCACGATCAGAAATCTCCGTGTGTAGGTATTTAGATTTTTAAAGGCATTTAGCTATTGCTTTGCTCAGCATTGCAAGGCATAAGGGATTTAGATGGCTAAATCCCAATTTGAAGAGTGATTTAGGCAAGTAGGGCCAGGTCTTTAAGGGTATTTAGGTGCATAATTCCAACTGATTTCAATAGGAGTTAGATTCCTAACACCCAGAGAATTATTTAGGAGAATAAGTCCCATTGACTTTCAATAAGAAAAAGCTCCTATGTCACTTATAAAAATGGGACTCACCATCTAATTATGTAGGCCTTGCTACACTGAATGCAGCAATGCCTAAATACCTTTAAAAATCTGGGCCTTATAGGCTGTGATCAAGTCACCATTTAACCTTCTCTCAGATGAACGACATTGATTGAGCTTCAGAAGTCAATCACTGCAAGGCATGTGTTCCAGACCTCGATTCAATCTTTAGCTCCTTTCTGAACGCATTTCCAGTTTGTCAACATCCTTTTTAAAGTGTTGACATCAGAACAAGACACAGGATTCCAGCAATGGTCTCCCTAATGCTGTATACAGTGGTAACATCACCTCCAGACTTCTACTCCACATTCCCCTGCTTTTAAGTTAGTGGTGCTCCAGCCATAACCCCCATCCTCAGGTAGTCCTTAGCCAGTGTGCCAGAGCCAGAGACAGCCACTGTAATTTAAAGCAGCCTTGAGGTTGCTCTAAACTATGCAAGGGATTGGGCAGGCAGAAAACTAGCTACAGAACTGGGATACCATAACCTACTACTTCTGCCCACCATCTTCAACTGTGCTTAGCAGATAGAAGGTTGGAACCTCAGTTTATGTAATTCATCTTAACTCCACTGATTTCAATCCATCTGCCCCATAGCATGCAGATGACAATCTGGGCCAGCATCTTTTTTTTCTTATTCAAGTAAAACAAACTTTGCTTGCTTGTTTGTTTAGGATTATGGGCAGCAACATAAACCCCTAAGAAAATAGAAAAAAAAAGGCTCATTCTTATTAGCTGCTGGAGATAAGCTAAAACAGCTCAGCTCCTGTTCCTTTCTGAGCACTGCTGTCAGAAACATGACAAGCTCTGAACATTTTTCAAGGAGCATCTCACTGGCAAGGAAATTCTTTAGCATGACCTCCAATGAAATTCTTTAAATTTTAAGTCCCCAACTTTCAGGGTTGTAAACCTGGAAGGCTTGCCAGTTTGCAGAAGAGTTCAGAGAAATCCCTCAAATTCCCCATTAATATCCACAAAATGATTTTGCAAGAGGCCCTCAAATTGGAATTGTGTTCTGACTCTGTATGAAAAGAAAGGGACAGAAAATCTAACCCTCTCTGCTACTGCAGGATTGCTTTCTGGTTCTTTGCATTTGATGTTGAATCTGAGTACATAATCTTATCAAATTTTAAAGGGAGCACTGTACTTATCTGAATGGCTCTGCTGCTAAATTCTCTCTCACACTGTGAGTGAAAGAAAGACCTTCAGTGAAAGGAGACAATTCTTTAGAATGCCATTGTTGCCGTTTGGGTACAGATACAATACAGGGCAGATCATTGGCTGGAGTAAATAAACAAAGCTCTATTGACCTCAAATGCTATGCTAATTTACATCAGCTGAGAACTGGATTTGCACAGGACTGGACTTGCTCAGTGGGTTTTTCCACTGACTTCAATGGTAGTGAGATCAGGCCTTATGATTTCTTACTGAATAAAGGGCAGATCCTAAAACATATAATGGCTGACTTGGGTTAGTAAAGATTGCTTTCATGAGTGTTTGGGTCAGATGTTTGAACAGTGTGGGTCACACTGATTCATAGATTATAAGGCCAGTCTGACCTCCTGCTTAGCACAGGCCATCGGACTTTCCTGAATGAATTGCTGTTTGAACTAGAGCAGATCTTTTAGAAAAACACCTGGTCTTGATTTTAAAATTGCCAGTGATGGAGAATCCACCTCAACCCTTGGTATGTTGTTCCAACGGTTAATCGACCTCAATTATGTGTGGAGTATTTCCAGCCTGAATTAGTCTAGCTTCAACTTCCAGCCATTGGATCGTGTTAGACCTTTGTTTGCTAGATCAAAGAGCCCATTAACAAATTTTAAACTTATAAACTGTGATCAAGTCACCCCTTAACCTTCCCTTTGTTAAGCTAAATAGATCAAACTGCTTGAGTCTGTCACGATACGGCATGTTATCCAACCCTTTAAATCATTCTTGTGGCCCTTCTCTGAATCCTTTCCAATTTATCAACGTCCTTCTTGACTTGTGGGCATCAGAACTAGACACAGTATTCCAGAAGCGGTCACACCACTGGCAGCAGCAGAGAAAAACATCACCATCTTACTCCTACTCAACATTGCCCTGCTTATACATCCATGGATCAGATTAGCCCTTTTGGCCACAGCATCACACCACATGCTCATGTTCAGCTGCTTATTCACCATAACCCCCAAGTCTTTTTCAGACTCACTGCTTCCCAGGCTAGAGACCCCATCCTATCAGGACAGCCTGCACTTTGTTCCTAGGATGTACATGTGACGCTGGCAGATCAGGTGCCAGCTCATGCCGAAACCCCAGCTCAATTCACTGGTGTATTAGTATAGATCAAAGTAATTGTTAAAGTATATTTGGTGTTTAAACTTAATGAAAATTAATAGGATGTTACTTTTCCGTATCCCGTTATAATGTAATAGCAAACATTTACGTTGTGTATACCCCTGTAACCAAATAACCCATCAAAGGAGAAAGAAGCCTTGTGGAATGCAAATGAAGAACTTGAACAGAAAAGTGCTCATTTCAAAGCCAGTGGTCATTGTGGGTGACCATCAGAGGTCAAAGACTCAAAATGCATTCCTCACGTTCTGTCAGTAGTGACACCTTCAGCTTGTTTTCTGGAAGAAGCTATAAGAATGGATTCAAGGAGAGATCCTTCATCACTGGATTGTTTGGATTCGTACAGGGAAGTGTACCAGATGCAAAGCAGAGATTTCCAGAGACAATCTGGGTATCATGAAAAGACTTTTGGGAAACTGGCAGTTTATTACATCTCTGCCACCATTGGGAATTACAAACTGTGACTCACCTGTGCATATATTTTACCTGCTTTAACCTCTCAGTAACTTTCATTTCCTTTTCGTAGCTAATAAATCTTTAGTTAATTTACTATAGAATTGGCTGCCAGCATTGACTTTGGTGTAAGATATAAAGTACAAATTGATTTGGGGTAAGAGACTGGTCTTTTGGGACTGGGAGCAACCTGATGTGCTGTGATTTTTGGTATAAGTGACCTTTTATCACAAAGTCCAGTTTGTCTGGGTGGCAAAATAGGCTGGAAAGTCCGAGAGGACTGTCTGTGACTCTATGGTAAGACTGGTACAGTGATCCAGGAGTTCACATTTGTTACTGGCTTGGTGAAATTTAATTAGAGAACATACCACCAATTTGGGGTGTCTGCCCTGTTTTCTGACAGCCCGC